ATGCAAAATGCCTTTTTCATTAAAAAATAATTCAAAATTTTTATTTTCATTCCCCACCATGATCACTTCTGACTTTGACAATTCTAAGATCCTTTTCATTCTGAACTTGGTTGCAGAAGGTAACAAACACAAAGTGTGACTCGTCCTTGTGTATTAAGAACTTTACCCATGTCCATCTGCTATAGTCATCTATGATTACTAACCCATACTTCTTGCCACTGACTGAAGCAGTTTTTACTGGTCCAAATAAGTCAATGTGCAGAAGTTCTAATGGCTTAAAGGTGGAAACAATATTTTTTGATTTGAAAGCAGGTTTTGCAAATTTTCCTTTCTGACATGCTTCACACAGAGCATCTGAGTTGAACTTCAAATTAGGAAGTCCTCTGACCAGATTGAGTTTGTTAATCTGAGATATTCTTCTCACACTAACATGCCCCCATCTTTTGTGCCAGACCCATTGCTCATTGTTAACAGAAAGTAGGCATTTTACATTCTGACTCTTTAGTTCAGAAAGTTTTATTTTATAAATGTTGTTTTTCCTCTTTCCATTAAATAGGATAGTCCCATCTTCTGAATAACAGCTTTGCATGAATTTTGATTGAAGATTATATCATAACCATTATCACTTAATTGACTTATGGATAACAGGTTATACATTAATCCATCAACTAATAATACATTATTTATAGAGGGAAGATTTCCATTACCTACTGTTCCTGAGCCAATGATCTTTCCTCTCTGATTACCTCCAAAGCCCACGTAGCCTTCAGGCTTAAGTTCAAGGCTTTGGAACATATGCTTTCTTCCCGTCATGTGTCGCGAGCAACCAGAGTCTAGGTACCATGATTGGTGTCTTAGCCTTGCTGCTAAAGATATCTGCTACACGTATAATTTTATCCTTAGGTACCCATATTTTCTTGGGTCCTGATTTGTTAGTTTTACCAAAATTCTGATCGGATTTTGGTTTGACAGAATAATTACTACTTGTGTATTTTATGTCATGTGTGTGCCCATATATAAAATGTGAATTGAGTGGTGTGCGTTTTATGACTAAGTCCATGGAATTTTTTGGTGTAGATACCTTACCTTGATATCTTATCCCTTTTCTGCCATTTATGCTAACTCCATAGATCATTGAAGCCATCTTGCTTATGTCTATGTTTTAGCTAGAAACTTCTGAAAGCTGTGATCATACTCTTTGATGATCTCATCAGCATTACTGGGAGTTTCAGAGATTGTTTCCTTCTGAGGATTTTGCAAATCATTTTCTAATTTTGAAAATTTTTCTTTTAACTCAGAATTCTCTAATCTGAGACTCTCATACTTTTTAGAGTCAGAGGCAAGATTCCTTTTCAGGTTCCTGAATTTGACTCTGATTTGCTGATACCTTTCCAGAATTTCATTTAGGCTTTCTGCAAGTTCAGCCTTAGTAAAGTTTATGGTAAAGTCAGGGAATACCTCTTCAGTGTCTGATTTTGAGTCTGAACCAGAAGCTTCACTGTCTTCTGATACGTTTGCCATGAGAGATATGTTTGCTCTTTCATCATCTGATTCTGAGTCAGCTTCAGATGTGTCAGAATCATCCCATGTAGCCATGAGGCTTTTCTTCTTTTCCTTGAAGAACTTCTTTTTAGGGTTTTCCTTCTAAAGATTTGGGCAGTCACTTTTGTAGTGCCCTTTCTCGTTACATTCATAGTAGATGATGTCCTTGTTGTTTGGCTTTCTGTATCCTGAAGAACCTTCAGATCTTCTGTGTCTAGAGGAAGACTCAGACTTTCTGTATCTGGAGGAGGATTCATTCTGATTCTCTGATCTTCTGGGATTTATGAACTTCCTTTGTCTCTGCTTCCACAGTTGGTTCACCCTTCTGGAGAGGAGAGACAATTCATCTTCTTCTGATGAGGATCCATCAGAAGTTTCTTCCACAGCCTTCAAAACTTTAGAGTCAGATTTCCTGTTAGATTTTAAAGCTAATGGCTTACCTTGATTTTGAGGCTCATCTTCTTCTAGCTCTATCTCATGACTTCTGAGGGAGCTAAAAAGTTCCTCCAGAGAAATTTTGTTGAGATCTTTGGCTAGCTTAAGTGCTGTGACCATTGGCCTCCATTGCTTGGGCAAGCTTCTGATGATCTTCTTAACGTGATCAACAGTAGAATACCCTTTGTCAAGAACCTTCAGTCTAACAACAAGGATTTAGAATCTTGAAAACATGGTTTCTATTGATTCACTATCTTCTATCTTGAATGCCTCATACTTCTGAATGAGCGCAAGGGCCTTGGTTTCTTTGACTTGAATGTTGCCTTCATGCGTCATTCTCAGAGAGTCAAACATGTTCTTGGCAGTCTCTCTGTTTGATATTTTCTCATATTCTGAGTATGAGATAGCATTGAGGAGTATTGTTCTGGCCTTGTGGTGGTTTCTGAATTCACGCTTTTGCTGATCAGACAACATTTTTCTGTCTATCTTCTGACCACGTCTATCCACTGGGTGCGTGTATCCATCAATCACCATGTCCCACAAATCAGCATCATGAGCCAGAAAGAAACTCTCAATTCTGTCTTTCCAGTAGTCAAAGTTTTCTCCATCAAAGACTGAAGGTTTCCCACTGAATCTGTCCTTGTCTTCATGGTTGTCATTGCTGATGTTTTGGCTTGGTCCCACCATAGTGTTTTTCTGAAGCTTGGATCTTGTACTGACACGATTAAGTGTTTAAGCTCAGAACCAGGCGCTCTGATGCCAATTGAATATGTGAAAAACACAAGAAGGGGGGTTGAATTGAAAACTTGAAATTAAAAGCTCAATGACACAATATTTTTATCCTGGTTCATTTGATCTCAAACTATTTCAGTCCACCCGTCAAGGTGATTTCGCCTCTCTCCAACGAGGTCTTAATCCACTAATCTCAACAAGATTACAAAAGCCACTTTAACAACTGTTAAAGTCCTCTTGAGTACAACCACAATCCGGTTAATCTCAAGGAATACTGTTTCAATACAATTATACAAGATATGTGTTGTTATTTTTCTAACAAAAACTGTTTATCACAACTGTGATAAATTACACAGGATTATAGCTTGGAAATGTAAATGATATTGCTTGCAACTTTGAATATGCGTGAGTGGTAATATATCAAAAATCGTTATTGATTTTGAAAGCTAACTTTGTTTATATAGGCAGTGGAATAACGTTGATCATAAAGTATGTTTAATGTCATTAACACACTTTCCATTTGGAGAAGATCCTGTCTGAAAGAAGCCGTTGGAATTGATGTTGTCTTGAATGATCAGTAACGCTTCAGAATCTTATCTCCTTACTTGCTGATGACGCTTCAGAATATTGATGACTTGGATTGCCATGTTCTTATTCAGAATCAGAGTTTACTTTGCTTAAGCGTAGGTTCTGGTCATCAATCTTCAGCGCATGTTCTGATTGCTTCAGCGTGTAGCTCTTATGGCTTATCTTCTGATGCTGATATGGTCAGAACTTATGCATACATAAAACATAATTTTTAGGGTGCATATTTGTTCTTTATAATTATTATTTATTCTTTGTATTTGTTATCATCAAAACTCTAACTAAGGGTTGTAGAATCAAACTATGTTCTAACAAAAACGCCTTTGAACACCAAACAATATCAACAGCTGATAGCCTACATTCAAGGACATATGGTTAGACAATCAAACACAGACCCTGCATCAGGTTATTTAGTTTGTACAATATTTTCTTTTTCATATCACAGTATATATCCCACTAGCAATACTTGGATAGTTGATTCAGGTGCAACATCTCACATTGTGCACTCCTTGCACATGTTCACTTCATATAAATTTCTGTCTCACAAATTTGTGACTTTACCTGATAATAGCAAAGTTCCGATTTCTTCCATTGGCACAATTGTCCTCAATCCATATTTAACATTGCATAATGTTTTATATATTCCCCTGTTTCGCATTAATCTTCTGTCTGTTGGTCAGTCATTGCAAAATTCTCATTTATCTGTCACTTTCTCATGGCCTCTACTTTCTCAAGAGTGTTAATGAGGCTACTTCTATTTCCCTTAATGTTCATTCAAATAAAAGTTCCTTTTTCTATGCCCAACTATAATGTTGTTGGAATTATTTCTTTCAATACTTGGCATGCTAGATTAGGGCATTTATATGACCCTGTTTTACAGTCTATTCATAAAACTATTCCAGATTTATTCTCTTTTAATAAAGATAATCATGAATTCTGCAAATTTTATCCCCTTGCAAAATTCCATCATTTGCTTTTTAATTCAAACAATAATCATACTAAATCACCTTTTGATTTAATTCACAGTGATGTATGGGGTCCTTTTGCCAAAGCTACATATGATGGCTTCCGTTTTTTTAACCATAGTTGACGATAATACAAGATACACTTGGATTCATCTAATGAAATACAAATCTGAAGCACCAATGTTTATTAAGCTATTTTTTTTAAGTTCATTAAAACATAGTTCAACACTTCAATAAAGGGCCTTCGAAGTGACAATGCCAGAGAGATCAACCTGGCTGATTTTCTACAAGATGAAGGAGTTACGCATCAGTTTTCATGTCCATATAGACCTCAACAGAATTCAGTTGTGGAAAGAAAACACTAGCATATGTTAAATGTTGCAAGGGCACTTTTGTTTCAATAAAAAAATTCCATTAAGATTCTGGGGTGATTGTGTAAATACAAGTGCTTACTTGATCAATAGAGTCCCTTCTCCTAGGTTAGACAACAAGTCTCCTTTTGAATTGTTACAAGGTAAACTGCCTGACTATGAATCTTTAAGAGTATTTGGTTGTCTGTGTTTTCCTCTACTATCCCTGCATACATATTAAAGTTTACTCCACGTGCCTCACCCTGTATTCTGCTGGGATATCCTCATGGTGTCAAAGGTTACAAACATTTGAAATTAGAAACCAGAAAAATTCTAGTCAGTAGGGATGTAATTTTTCAAGAAACTATTTTTCCTTTCAGTTCTATAGCAGATGATACAATTTTGTCCAGTTTTTTCTGTCCCTGTCTTGCCAAAGGCAATCACAAATTCTTTTTCTCAACATGAACCAACCCCTTTGAGTCATAATGATGGTGAAGCACCACAACCTGATATAGATGTTGCCATACCAAATCCACCTGCTATAGCTCACAATGATAATCAAATCTTACCTGCTGAACATAATCACTCATCTCAAAGACCAACTAGAATTCGTAGACCTCCAACCTATCTTCAGGACTACCAATGTAGTGTTCAGTACCCAATACAGAAGCACTTGACCTATGATAACCTGCAACCCACTTATAGAAAGTTTATAGGACAAGTATCTGGCATTTATGAGCCATCTTTCTATCATCAGGTTGTCTCCAGTCTTGAGTGGAGACATGCTATGGCAGAAGAAATTGCTGCTCTAGAGGCAAACAACACATGGTCCATTCAAAGTCTTCCCAAGGGCAAGAAAGATGAAGGTTCTAAGTGGGTATACAAAGTGAAATATAGAGCTGGTGGATCCTTGGACAGGTACAAAGCATGATTAGTTGCTCAGGGATTCACACAACAGGCTGGGGTGGATTTCTTGGACACTTTTTCTCCTGTAGAAAAACTCACTACAGTAAGAATATTGCTTTCTATAGCTGCACAAAAAAAGTGGAATTTCATTCAATTAGACATCAATAATGCTTTCTTGAATGGAGATTTATCTGAAGAGGTGTTTATGCATATACCTAAAGGTTATCTAATCAAGGGGGAGAACCTAGTTTGCAAATTAAACAAGTCTTTGTATGGCTTAAGGCAAGCATCTAGATAGTGGTATCAAAAGTTTAGTTCAACCCTCACATCTTTATGTTTTGAGCAATCTCCAATTGACCATTCCTTATTTTCATGTGGCAAGGAGTTTTCTCTAGTCATTCTATTGGTGTATGTAGATGACATTGTACTTGCGGAACCAGATTCAAAGAGATTAAAGCAGGTTGAAATCCTCCTGCAGAAACATTTTAAGCTAAAAGTTATAGAAGATCTTCATTACTTCTTGGGCTTAGAAATTACCATATCAACCAGAGGGATTCATCTGTGTCAAAGGAAATATACTCTACAACTTCTTCATGATACAAGTTACCTTGCCTCCAAACCTATGAATGTTCCTTTGGATTCTGCAGTATCATTCAATGATACTGATGGTGAGAGTCTTAAGGATGTTTTTGCCTATCGAAGACTCATAGGAAAACTGATGTATCTGACGATATCCAGGCCTGACATTGCCTATGCAGTCAATAGATTGAGCCAATTCATGCAGAAACCTCACACTACTCACTTGACAGGAGTATATCATGTTTTACATTATCTTAAAGGCACACCGGGAAAATTTTTATTTTTTCTAACTAAGTCTTCCTTTCGTATCACAACTTTTGCTGATGCAGACCGGGGGAGCTGTAAGGTAACACGCAAGTCAACCACATGTTTTTGTGTTTTCTTAGGCAATGCCTTAATTTCGTGGAAGTCCAAGAAACAATCTACAGTGGAAAGATCATCAGCAGAAGTAGAGTATCGAGCTCTAGCCTCCCTTTCCTCTGAATTGCTGTGGATCAGGCAACTTTTGCGTACCTTTGAAGTCGATTTGCAGTCTGTCATGGTGTTTTGTGATAGCATGTCAGCTATTCAGCTTGCATCAAATCCTTTGAGCCATGAAAGATCTAAGCATGTGGATATAGACTTCCATTTTATTCGCCAGCATGTACAAACCAAATTTCTCAAATTAGTTCATGTGAAGTCCTCACAACAACTTGTGAATCCTCTCACCAAAGCTCACTCACGGCCATTGTATGAATTCCTTACATCTAAGTGGGGAATGGTTGACCTATATCTTCCCACTTGAGGGGGAGTATTAGAGGTGTAGGATAAGGACTAGGTGTTTGAGTTCTAGTGGATACCTATCCTATAATTTATTTCTCATTGGGTATAAATAAATAGGAGGTTGTTGATTGGTGTAAGTGAAATATAACAAACTATAACAGAATTTAATGTGAGAATGATTTTATCTTCTTCTTCCTCTTTCACTCTGCGTTTTTTGCATTCTCTATAATGTTCAGTTCATCGATGCTTGGCTTATTTGATAGATTTGAATCTTCACTTCTCTTCATCTCTTCTTTTGATTCTTGATACATATATGTAGAGGATGTTAAGTAGAGTTAGAACCCCTTGGAATCATGCTTTGAGGCTCCACCATGTACATTTAATTTAAAATATAAGAACTTATGGTTTAGACTTGATTTCTAGATTCCGAGAAAGCGAAAAAGAATTAACGGAAAAGAAGGTTGGATACGGACTTAGAAGGTGGAACCTAAGGCAATGGCATATTCTTTGGACGTTTTTGGACAAAACCACCACGGGTGCCGCCAGCACGGTGGTGGTGACTTCTGAAAATTCAAATTGAGTGAAGAAGAGGTTGGAGGGAAGAAGAGGTGATAACATGTAACCCTAACAACATCTAAACGCAATTGTTTTCCATTTGTTTCATTTTACATTCCTTTTTTAATTGGAAAGTAATCAGAAATAATAGTAGAAATTGAAAAATGAAAATCCGGACATTGTTGATTTGCATTTGGGCTTAAGCGCCTTGCCTTGATATTCCCACCCTTGCCAGATCAACACACCTCCTGCCTCACACTCATTTCCATTTATTTTTCAAATTTTTGCATTGATTTTGTTACATTCTTTATGCAATTTTTTCAGTATGATTTTATAATTTTCCTTGATGAAATATGTGAATATCATATATTTAGTCCTTATTTGTTTGAATATTTTTCTTTAATTTTTGTTGATGAAAAATTAATGAGAATAGTTGAATATGCCATTAGAAATTAGGGTTTCTATAAATGTTCTTGATGATTCTCTTACATGATTCAATTTTTCTTTGCAAATGGAATGTACGATGAAGGCATTATGATTCTGGAAATGATGTTGAATTTTGCTTTGATTTTGTTCATAAAATGCCATGATAATTTTCCATAAAAATATTCTTGAATTTCATGTTGTTTTTAGGGTTTCTTTGAAAAAAACTCAATCTTAGGCTAGAAATTTCCATTTCAAACTCAACCTTAATTCCTATACATGACAACATATAGTTAGAATTCTCTTTCAAACTCAAATTTAGGAATACTTTGCATGATAACATTAGGCTAAAAATTTCCCCTTTGTTTCTTCATTCATATTGCTTTTCCTTTCAATCTAAGACAAAATCATTTTCTTAATCAAAACTCAAAATACGTAATAAATATGATACTTATAAATACGCCATGAGCCTTAAGTACATGAGGAAAGATAAACGAGAGTATTCCTTACCTCTTCTTAGAGTATTTTTTACGTGAGACACTTGACTCATTTATACAAAGTATTTGTCATCATGTCATAGACTTTAGTATAATACATATCTCAAACCATTTCAAAACTAAAGGAGAATATACTTAAATACCTCCAGCCTTGAGGGATCATTTGATGTATCTCCTAACAAAACACTCAAACATATTCAAACCTTTTTGTCCTTTGGCCTTTTCTCTTTAACCTTTTCAAAAAGGGCGTATTATTTATGTTCTACCATAATACATGCTTGTCTATTACTGGAGCATGAACGTTAACATTGTCCATAAAAAACATCTAAAAACCCAACATTTTTTAGACGAACTGCGAAGTTCTGATTTCTTCATTGCACTATGAGAATACGTAGGCAAGGAGTTACAAGACCTTAGCGAACTCAATAATAAAAACCTTTTCTTTTTCCCAATAATTCATTCACGCCTTCTTAGCAAGTTATAGCTTTACATATACACACCCTTAGAAACAAACAAACAAAGTGGATTCCATTGAGTACAACGAATGTGAGGGGTGTTAATATCTTCCCCTTGCATAACCAACTTCTGAATCCGTATCTTAGTCGCAAGACTATCTTATCCTTCTTTTTGGGGTTTTCTCGATGTTTCCCCTTCCCTTTGAGATAAATAAAGTTCATGACGATTCCATATTTTTTCACGGTGCGACAATTGGAATTGTGAAGAATCCTGCATGGTATACAACATCCAAGAAATATTCAATATTGTGGGCTATTTTGTGATCCAAGCAACTCCATTGGGGCAAACGAAAGAGTCGTGTTGTTGCGTTGTTATGGCGTACCATGTCATGTTTAGAACCCATAGTTCTTTGAATTCATTACAACTCCAGTGAAATTTATATGTGCTCAGATGATAACACAAGAAACAATACATGCATGGATGTAACACGAATTCTAGTTAGAAAAAAAATCTTTTATAGTTTTGATTTGTCGTTATATGCTATTAACGTAGATGTTGTGAGTTTGTTCATAGATTCATTCTTTTTAATTTATAGCGATTTTAAATTTGTATTATTTAATATATTATATCAATTTGTATGAATGAATTTCATTTTTATTTTATAAAAAGGAGCACAATTAAGATTGACTTATTATATTGAATATTTTTAATTAGTATCCATTTATTCTTAATATGGGCTACTACATAATCAAAAAGTTTGAGACGTACACTTAATTTATACCACGTTTCCAACTATTCTGCAACCGCTAAAATATGGCACATCAATTAAAAAGGACATGCTATGTACTCTTGTGGTCTCCCATAAATTTAAGAATAATAATATTAATCTCAGTTGATTTAGTGCTGATTGATGGTAGATTTGGTAAGAATATAAATAATTTTTAAACTTTCTCTTTTCTTATTATTGATTGTTTCTAAGAATATAAATTTAAAATTGTTTTCATGAAGTATTTCTTATTTGTCGTATGAGAAATTTGAATATCTGCATTGTTATTTTAAATATGGATACAAGATAACAATTGTGATCATGGTTATTTATTATTCTATTAATTATTAATCATTATTATTAATGATGACATATCATTAGTATATTTCTCAATACATTATCATAACAACTAAATTCATATTCTATATGACTCGGAGAACTAAACAATAAGCGGATTCGACAAGTTAATCTGAAAGGGAAGGTGGACTACATTGCAGGCTTATCAACAGTTATGGCGAATCATAACTATAACTAGGGGACTGGTCGGTTTGAAGATCTCATGAAGTGGGTTTGAAATCAATAGTTAATGAAAATACCAGTCAAAATACTCTTCAATGGTGACCTGTGTTTTTCATAGAGATAACAAACAGAGTTTATCTTCAAACTGAGTGAGTTGACAGAAATTAAAAATATTTGTTGACAACTGATAAAGATATGGTAGAGCAAAAGTACAGCAGTAAAAAGTATTCTATCATTTTCTGTATCTGTAAGCTATTATCCTATAAAATAATAATAATAAATAATATATAATATATAAGATAGTAAACAAAAAAAAAGTAGAGAATTTTTTATCTCACCTCATATGAAAAATAGATACTCTATACAATTTTGAAACAGCTTCTCAAAAAATTAGAAATGTACTTCTGGTTCACATTATATTTTACATAAAATAGATCAAATATGATTTTACCTTTTAAAATGCAAAAA